CATTCGCTCTTCGCTTTCTTTGATTTTCTCCGCTTCTTCTACTTGTTGCAATGCCTTGCCCAAGTCGAGATCATGTCCTGTTGCCGCATACACCAACTGAAAGCTAATCCTCAGAGCTGACACTTACTATACTAAAGCTGATGGGTTATAATCAGCGATTCAGAACGATTATGAGTAGATGAGCGCTGTAGGGTAGATGTGAGTTTAGCGTTGAAAACAGGGGTACAAAATCAAGCTACAAAAATGGTCACGGTAGGAGCGCTGAGCATAGCACTGATCACATCATCTTGCAACAGAAGGGTTCTGGGGAAACTGCAGAGCTTTGCCGCTGAACATATTCAGCATGAGTGCCTCACTTATTGCACACTATGGGCATACACTTGAAGGAAACTTTCCAGCGCTCATTTGACTAAATTTTACCCTGCAAAGCGAGCATGGCGCAGCGCGATAAGGCGCCGGTTTCTACATCTGATCAACTGACCACAAGATCCATCAGTATGTTCCTTAACACGGGCCAGCTGCAACTTTTTAAGTTCGTCCTTAATGCTTAGCGACGTTTGGACAAGTCGACGTGAAAACGGCAACTCAAAAGTTTTCTTGATTCTTCAAAAGCAATAGCCCTTTGACCCGGCACAGGTTGCGATCGAATTGGTGTGTTATGTTGTTCAAAAATTAGACAAGAGCTGCAAAGGGGGCATCAATGGGAAAAAGCAAAAAGCACCATAGAAAACACTAAATTTCCCTTGTGAGGTCGACCGTGGTACGACGGAGAGACACAGCGCTGCGAGGAGAGGGAAAACGCGAGATAGCACGTCGTACGCGAGAGGGCGCAGACGCCACGTATGCCGCGATGATAAGAATGGCAGCGGTCGCAGCGGTTGCAGCGGTCAAGCGAGGATATTAGCTCCATTACCGCACACTGCTGATCGTGAGTAGGATATCAACGCTCCACTGATTATAGGTCCTGCTACCTCACTGATAGAGAGAATTTCTCTGATTATAAGTATCTGATCGCGATCTGTGCCTTCAACTACTGTGCGCCTTACAATCAATCACCGTTCACAAAGGGATTTTGGCCCACAGAAGAACTTTTCGCTCCCTGTCCAGGAACAAAATGCCGATCGATAACCTTGAATTTTACGATCGGACGCGTTGGAAAAAGCAACAGAATGGTGAAGGTTTGAAGGGAAAACGCATAATAATCAAATGTCGAAACCAAGCTCCACTAAAACTAACACCAACCCTAGCGTAAGCAGTCTATTAGGCCCCACATTGAACACAGCGAGTTTACAGGTAAGGGGTAAAGGGTAGAAAAATAGCTAGGTAGATAAAATAATTTTCAGTACCTGTCCTGGATCGAGTTTATCGAACTTCGTCGCACCAGGTGTCACTTCTGGGACGAAACTCTCCACTGGCTTCACCAACTCGTCCGTGCTCGGATCATAGTCGAACATATAGTAATCGCCGGCCCGTTTTGCTGAAGCAAGAAAACCATTCAATTCATTAAGACAAGTTACGGCTCATGAAAACAGAATTAGTCGTGCGTGTTAGTCCTGAAAGATTATATTAGAATGTAAATAGCAAACCGAAATTAGCTGAAACTTAAAGGAGCGCGTGGAAAGGTGGTGTTTTTGTGGGTGAGGCGCTTCAACAAGGAAACACACACCTGTGATAGAACTCTTATTGGACTTGGTCTTCTTGTGAAGATGTAAGACAGTAATTGCAGGGTCGCCAAGAAGCACAAAATTTTTCACCGCCCATGTGCTTCTGGGCGACCCCGACCAACTCGTAATGGAACGCATCAAAAACCATGTCACTTCTGCAAAACTGAATCTTACCTATCCTCCCTAAAAGCTGCTGTAAGCTTCCGTAATCTTGAAGCGTACTATGAGAGGGAATACAGCCTAATACTTAACAGCCACTGGTAACAGCCACTAGTTGAACTAATTCTCTAATGAAAACCATACATCAAGCATTTGGCAAGCGTGCAGGTTCCCCATCAAATCGTAAAGGGGTAAAAACGCTCTGACATATTCATTGAGTAAGGATGGTGTGGGCACTTGTCATGGGAAGTTAGAGTTGACATATTTTTTTTAATCTGGGACCGATTATTTATTTAGACAAGGACACAATTCCAGCTTAAGATATCAAAAAACCGCTAAACAAAAAGAAGTGCTGCCGGGAGAGGCCCTAATGTATGGTGGGATCCAAAAAAACCCTAAAATATTGAGAACTTTACTTAGGCTAACCATGAATACGTCTTTCCTAGAATATATTGCTTATGAATTTTGGAAGAAGAATTTACGATTAGCTCAGTGGAAACTGCCCCAACAAGTAATGTAGACTGTCCCGCAAGTGATAAGGATGATCTTTCTAAACGCTCGAAACACGTTTCAAAGGCTTAAGTAAAAATGGAAGCTCCCATTATCAGCATGGATCACACAGAACGATTACGGCTGTCAGCTTCGCTGAAGTCTGATCTCTTTATTCCCTTACCTACTTCGTCTGCTCCACTGTCTAGGCACCCAATGCTTTTCTTTCACCGTAATCGTACAATTCTATGCGATTCTTATACCCTAGTACAAAAATGGGCCTTATTCAGGAGCATTCTTGACGGTTCTTCCTTCTATTTGTTCCCTTCAGCAGCAACGTTTCCATACTCAATGCCCAGCATCCACTTTCTTCTACACTTTATGGTGTTTCAAGCCAAATGGTCTTTTCTTTAAGAAGCAAAATCGGCCGACTGCCAACGTAGAATTGGAAGCCAGTACTACAAGCAATCATACCACTCGAGAAGCTGAATGATCCTTAGCATTCAGAAGAGCACAGAAGAGAAGTGCAGGGATAACGTGGTCAAGATGTGTGTGTATGTGACATGATTTTTGATGCAACGAAAGAAGTGACTGGAAGCTCAAAGCTGCGAACAGAGGACATCGAACCGGGTGGCGTCGTCGCGTAGTGGTAGTAAAACTGTTCCTCGTCCTCATCATCGTCTTCACCATGGTCAGCTGACACATAAATTACTATATGTTTCTATTACCAACCTATGTGTTAAATTCCACCACCTCAATACGAATGCAGCACTCATCTCACCTGGATGGCGATGAAATCATGAGTTCGGTCAGAAGCACCACTTCACTAATGAAAGGTTCGGAAGAAATTGGCAAACTAGAGAGATCGCATCCAATCAGGATGAAATTAGGGAACACAAAAAAATACAAATTGAACCTTCAATATGCTTTTCTCGAAACCTCGAACGAGACAGAAGGATGCTTTAGGGCCATGAGGTCACGAACAGGGAATTTTGTTCGTGACCACGTAATCCCCCTTCCGATAGAGGAGAGATGAGCACATAGTCGTAGAAAACCCTTCTTAGTATAACTCAAAGCTTTCACAAAAAGCACCGAAAACCACATTGAGACTAAACTAATGGTTAAAACCAGTTCAAGTTACAACAAATACAAGAACAAAAACGGAACCCGTCAGGAAACCCGAAGAAAGAAAAAAAATACAATAAAAATGAAAAAGTACATATAAATTAAGAATGAACATACCGTGTGCATAGGTCTGTGGTTCAAAAATAACTTCGCCTTTCTCCAGTTGTTTATTGTATCTAAAATACAATGAAGAAACCTTCATATAATCAAAGTAGCTTTCTACCTCAGATCTAAAAAAGGGTACCTGTCTCGAATTGCCTGGGTCCTCTTACGAATTTCATTGAACTTCGCCTTTTGTTGCTCATTCTGCTCTTTCATTTCTTTCTCAATCAGCTGATTCTTTAGCACTGCTCCTCTACAAAATTTGGGAGAATTACTCAAGGTTCTAACTTCTGTAATAACTAAGTAGTACACATTTTGAACTAAATCTGCGACAATATAGAGAAACCTAAGAAAAACTCAGTGGTCCTTGCATGGTTTTTTGAACTCCACTTTTTAACATACATAGGCTTTATGGGGAGACTCCGACAG